ATTATATTATATTATATTATATTATATTATATTATATTATATTATATTATATTATATTATATTATATTATATTATATTATATTATATTATATTAATTATATTATATTATATTATGTACTTTAAGAAGATGTAGAACTTTCAAGTAATATTGCTGAGTCCCAAGGGATCACCACTAAGTATTTCTCCTTTGGTCAAAGATACTTTGATAAATTATATAATGGAATTAGAGAACTAATTAATAAACTTATTTATTACCTGGTTTATTTATTTGTAGTTCTGGCAACTGAGCCAAGGGCCTTGCATCTACTAGGAAGGCCCTCTACTATTGGGCACTATTCCTGGTCACACACTAGCTTTCAGGAATAATTAAGATCTGTGTGGATTTTTGCCAAATAGGTCTTTGAGGACATATGATGATAGGTGGTTGGCTATTCTTGGTTGTCATCTTGACTACATCTAGAATTATCTAAAATCTAAAGACTAAATGATTTTTTAATTGAATCATTTGACGTGGGAAGACCCACTTCTAGTCTGGATCTTTGAGGTGGAAAGATAAACCTTTAATCCAGATCTTTTGAGGTGGGAAGATCCACCTTTAATCTGGACCATACCTTCGATTAGCAGGCTATCTAAAGGGCATGGAAAAAGAAACTTGCTCTCTTGTTTCCTGCTTGATCTTGCTGGCAAGTCCATTCTTTCACTGGCACTAGAGCACACTTCTTTGTAATTCCAGAATACTGAAGACCAGCTGAGACATCCAGTCTTCTGGGCTGAACAACTACTAGATTCTTGGACCCTGCGTTCATAGGCAGCCATTGTTAGACTTCCCATACCATAGCCTGTAATTCAGTCTAATAAATCCTCTTTCTCATTATGTATGGAGATTCATAAGTTCTGTCGCTCTAGAGAACCCTAACTAATAAGGTGGTAAATACCCCTCTAAATACTTATTAAGGTCTTGTGGCATGACTTGACTAATGAAAAAGACTTTTGCCATCATTGCTGTATTCTGAAGATCTTAGTATGATGTTTTGACAACTTTTGCACCTGAATGAGTATAACTCAAAATATTTATCAGCTATAAAAACAAGTAGCTACAGGTAAATCATTAAGTTATTTTATTTATTTATTTTTTTTTCATTAAGTTATTTTAAACTCATAGTCATATGTAATTTATATTTTAGTGTGGGAAAATAAAATAGCCAATTTTATCTATCCTCTAGGTTCAATTTCAGAGTAGGTAGGAAGCTATTATTAAGTAAAAATCTTTACCTCAAGCTATTTCAACAGCAAACCTTAATGCATGCAGGTACTTTGATGTTAATTTTTTGGAGAAGAGAATCCACTTTGAATAAGTCAAAGAGGAGCTAGAGAGATGGCTCGGTGGTTAAGAATACTGGCTGCTCTCCCAGAGTACTTGGATTCAATTCTTAGCACCCACAGAATGGCTCACAACCAACTGAAATTCCAGTTCCAAGTGGTCTGATGCCCTCGTCATATCTCTGTGGACACTGCACACACTGCTATACAGATATGTGAACAGGCAAAACATCCATTCACATAAAATAATAAATAAATAAACAGATAGATAGATAGATAGATAGATAGATAGATAGATAGATAGATAGATAGATAGATAGATAGATAAATCAATCTTTTTTTTTTTTCAAATGCCAAGGCAGGATTCTTTAAGGAAAGTGAATGGAATAGAGTTATTTGAATGCAAAACCACAGATGTAAAGACACAGAAGAGTTAATCCCAAGAGTCTCCTGTGTGCTAAGGTTCAGAGGGAAAAGAAAGCCAAAGAGGAAGGGAGAAAGAATGAAGGTGAAAGAGGCAGATAGAAGGTGAGGGTAGGAAGAAAGGGAAAGAGAGAGAAAGAAAGGAAATAATGACCCTTTCCCATCAAGAATGTTACCATTTGTGGACATTTTTCTTAAGAGGCATCGGCTGAGAAGCTGCTTCTCATTCCACTCATGCTAGGAAAAGTGTCTGTTTGGGGACATTATGGTGATTGACTCAGTGGGTAATAATTTCAGTTATTAAGATGTTTTTGTTATTAAACCAAAACATCTTTCTGAAGGGAGCTGATTACTCAGTGGTATGTCTAAAATGTGTATAATTTTGTTCTTCAGTTGCAACATGATGATACTTTGTCTAAAGAGAAATGGGCTCTAAAACTCAAAGGAAGACAAAAGTCCAAATTGATAGAGTACAAATATCAAGGATTGGCATGCTGCTGATAAAGAAAAGCATTTAAACATAATTTACAGTTTATAAAGTATACTTTATAAGCCGTGTATTATGTAAATATAGAAGACACATTCATGTTAGTTGGCTAAATCCTCATGCTTTACTATATCCTGTTTTGTTGCAGTGTTTAGTAATCATGTGTAGGTAATTAGACTCTGTGAGTGTAGCACTAAAGAAGCTAGACAATAAGGAGGACCCTAGGGAAGATACTTAATCCTCATTCAGAAGGGCAAAAGGATA